TTTAGCAGGAGACAAGATAAGGAGAATCACCCCAGCACCTGGGCCCCTCAGATTAAGTAAAAGTACTGAGGCTCCAGAGGAAGGTCTTCAGGACTCAGGCCTTAGTTATAGATGAGAAGTTCATCATTTACGTCCTTAGATGAATGCACAATTACACGTAGACATACAGCTGTGAAGGTTTATAAGCTCTGGAAACCTTGTGATTTTGAGCCAGTCTGGTGCTCTCTTCCCAGCTTTCTCCCTGTGCCCGTTTACAGAAGCAAACTCTCTTTCCCAGTTCATCTGCATCTCATTATCAAGCCGTGAGAATTAGCAGCCCAGCCCCTGGTTCTGTCTGGATATTTGGTGAGCCAGCCAGGAGAAAACGGCTAAGCGGCTTCGTAGGTACGGCAGGATTTTGTCGGATTTGGATCCCTAATTATGGATTAATGATAAAGCCCTTATGTGAACTGTTGAACAGGGCTGACCAGGATCCTTGAGTGGGAAGCAAGGCACCAATCACTCAAGCAACTGACGAGTAAGTTCATCTCCACCCCCGCCTAAGGGCTTCCGAATCTTGTCAGCCCTTCCAACTTGATGTGCCCTTGAAGTTCTAATGCAAAGGTGAGGCAAAGTGTGACAACCCATGGCATGCATTTCAAAGCAGCTGGACATGGTGACCAATGGCCGCCCCCCCCCTGCCCTAGAGCAGTCGTCACTGCTTGCCTGCTACTCAGGGGAGCCAAGAAGCTGACCTTGGGGCAGCCAGTCACAATACATGTGCCCCATCATGTGTTACTGGAGCAAAAAAGAGGATACTGGCTGATAGCAGGTCAGTTGGGTAGACATCAAGCCATACTTTTAGACAACTCCAAAGTAAAGCTGCAAACCACTGGAACTCCAAACTCTGCTTCCCTGTTCCCTCTTACCAAGGAGCTGAAGAAATCCTACAGCATTGTCTAGAGGTCATAGAGCAAGTGTTCTCTGGAACCCGGACCCCCGGACCTAAAGGACGTAGCCCTCCTGGCACAGATTGGACCTTGTTTGTAGACGGAAATAGCTTGGTCCCCAATGGGAAGAGAAGCACCGTGTATGCTGTGGTGCCCCCTCAGAGGTAATGGAGGCAGGGACTTTGCTGGCAGGAAATTTGACGCAGAAGGTGGAGTGAATCACCCTTACAGCTGTCCCAAGATAAGAACACCAACGTATACACTGATTCCAAGTAGGCATTTGTGGTAGGTCACACACATGGAGCCATCTGGAGGGAAACAGGGCAGCTAAGGGTGGATAACACCAAAGTTAAACATGATAAGCAAGTGTCAGAAGTGTTAGAGGAGGGCCGGGCGTGGTGACTCACACCTATAATCCCAGCACTTTGAGAGGCTGAGGCAGGATGATCACCTGAGGTCAGAAGTTCGAGACCAGCCTGGCCAACATGGTGAAACCCTGCCTCTACCAAAAATAAAAAAATTAGCCAGGCATGTTGACGGGCACCTGTAATCCCAGCTACTTGGGAGGCAGGAGAATCGCTTGAACTAGGGAGCAGGGATTGCAGTGAGCCAAGATGGTGCCACTACGCTTCAGCTTGGGCATCAGAGGGAGACTCTTTCTCAAAAAAGTATTATTAGAGGCAATAAAGGACCAACAGGAAATGGCCGTAATGCATTGCCCGAGCCATCCACACAGTAATTCCAAAGTGGCAAGGGGCAATGCTTTTGTAGACCGCACCACCAGGCATTTGCCAGTGCTAACATTAAAATCCAGGTGCCCTTAATTCCTCAAATAGATTTCACAGTCATCAAGCCCCAGAACACTTCCAGAGACGAAAAAGCGATGGAAGATAAGGGATTCAAAGTAAATGAGGAAGGGTGGAGGCGTGGAGAGGAAACAGTGCAGGCCTAGTCTGGATGGCAGCATGTCTGGTCCACCTGCTGTCAAAGTACATTCACGACAATCCCCACCTTGAGACAGATGCTTCACTGGCCTTTGTACAAAATTATTTGGAGGGGAAAGGACTAGAGGCCCACTTGGAGAATATCATTCAACATTGTGGTCCATGTGCCTGGAATGAGCCTGATAATCACAGCCCAGGGCAGCCCGGGTAACAAGAAAGAGGAAGGAGCCCACTAGAAAACCAGCACATAGACCTGGCACAGATGCCACCAGCCCTGGGGACACGAATACCTCCTAGTTCTAGTGGGCACTTTCTCTGGCTGGGAAGGATCATGCCCACGTCACTCCCAATGAGCAACCGAGGCAAAGTTTTGCTGAAGGAAAGCATTCCAAGATACAGGCTCCCTGACGTCACCCAAAATGATAACTCAATGAATGAACAAAGCATCAGAAATGAAGTGGACACAGTAGTCAGCATGGAGACCTCAATCTCCCAGACAAACAGAGAAGGAACCACACCCTGAAAACGTTCATTGCCAAGTTATGTCAAGAGACTCAGGTACTCAGCATGGCACTGCTCCCGGTGAGTGGGATTAAAGCCAGCCCCTCTGCAGCTAATCTGCCTCAGGCCACATAAGTACCCCCAGATTGGGAGTTGGCTATTAAGAGTTATAGGACAGACTCCTAACATTTTGCATAAGTTTACTTCCAACAGGGATGCTGTGAACTCCACAGACTCCCGCCACTCACTCCTACCTGGCCATCAGTGCTGCCAAGAGAATGGAAGGAAACCGCTGTGGGAGAAACGGAAGGGCCCTGCAACGCACTACTGACCATGGGCGCAGCACTGAAGCTGGCAGGCACCAAGCCTTGGGTCCATCACATGCGCCTGAAAAGATTCCTGCCAGCTGGGCACCAGCAGACGTGTCTCTGGTCCCAGCTGAGAGGCAGACCCCTGGAAGGCCTGAAGTTTCTATTCAGAAAGCGCTAAGCCTTTCTCTCCCAGTGTTCTGTCTTGCACGCCTCTCACTGTTCCTGCTCTTACCTCTCATCGTTCCTTCCACTGAGCACAGGACTACGCCGATAACCTGCGGCAAGCCCCCCACGGGGTCTGTGGTCTCCTGTCACCCTCTTCTAGCACCTCCAGGTTGCCTTGGTGGGGGCCACCCATCCAAAATAGACTTGATGTAGATGTTTTTGTTTTACATCTCACAGTGGTCTATACAACAAGACTTTAAAAGACCCAGGCCACAAAAAGCCATTTTCAGCAATCAAAACAAGTGATGACAGAACAGCATTAGCTCCGCCCCTGCTGAGTACACAGGGATGATGGAACAGCATTAGCTCCGCCCCTGTTGAGTACACAGGGATGATGGAACAGCGTTAGCACCACCCCTGCTGAGTACACAGGGATGATGGAAGAGCATTAGCTCCGCCCCTGCTGAGTACACAGTGATGACAGAACACCGTTAGCTCTGCCCATCTGAGTCCGAGGGTGGACGTCCAGGCTATTACACCACAGAATGTCCCATATAAAAACAGCTTTCTTCACATCTGGAATGAATTTATTTGGCTCACTGCCCCCACCGGACATTTAAACCCAGTAGCTCCCTTATGCTGGGAGCTACAGAAACACTGCCTTAACCACTGGCCTAATGTAACCATCCATCATTGGATGGATTCTGCACACACACACACGGACACGCACGCATGCACACACACGGATACGTGTGCACGCACACACACACACATGCGCACACACACGTGTGCACACACACAGTGCTACAACAAAAAGATTTGGTTTTTGGTTTTTTTTTTGAGATAGAGTCTCTATCACCCAGGCTAGAGTAAGTGGTGCCATCTCTTCTCACTGCAGCCTCCACCTCCCAGGTTCAAGTGATTATCTTGCCTCAGCCTCAGTGTAGCTCAAATTACAGGTGCCTGCCACTATGCCTAGATAATTTTTGTATTTTTTTAGTAGAGATGGGGTTTCACCGTGTTGGCCAGGCTGGTCTCAAACTCCTGGCCTGAAGTGATCTGCCCACCTTGGCCTCTCAAAGTGCTGGAACAAAGAGAGGTGTTTGCCACCAACTGGTCCCAACTACCCGGCCTATGTTGCTATGCCCCTAACAGAACCCAGTGGCTTGTGACACCATTTTATGGCCATGGCTGCTCTCAGGCACACTGAGACGCTGTACTCTAGGCTTCCTGTGGCCCCAGGGGCCCTGGGTAAAAGCCATCTAAATTCTAGCCAATCTCCCACAGATGGACCAGGTCAGTCTTTCACAGGTACAGTCATCTGGCCACAATCTTTATGCCCTCAAGAGGCTGAGAAATGGTCATGGCGCAGAGAGGCACTGGCTAAGTTTACACAGCCAGCCTTGAGCAAGAGACTCCACAGTGTTTCCTGTGTGGACACTGAAATGTACCACAGGTGGAAAACTATCTTACAAAGTCAAATGGCCCTAGACATTTTAACAGCGGCCCAGGGGTCGGGGGGGCCGTGTAGGGAACCAGCCCCACATCACACCTGTGGGTACCCCAAGTTCAGTGGCAACAAAGGAGTGAGAAAAAGATTAAGAGAGAAAGTGGGACCAGGGGGCCATCACTCATTACTGGAGGAGACAGTGAAGGCCCCGAGCTCTGATCATCCACACTATTTGTTGGTTACAGTTGCTTTGGTCTATAGGGTAGGGGTGGAGTGATGGCGGATGAATCAGTGAGCTGGAAGTGAACCAGTGAGCCGGAACTGATGTGTCATCCTAAGGATTGTTAATAGTGGTGGTTTGTTTCACAAAACAAGAACATGTGGTTGTCTTTAGCTTATTGTCTATGTGCAGCTGATGGAACTTGGGTCTTACAAGGAGCCTACAAGTCTGGCTATGTCACAGTGCCAGGAAGGGGTTTTACGTCCTTGAGCACAACGTTTATAGTAACAGAGCCGAGGTCACTCTGCACGGGAACATGAGGCATGGAGAGGCCGTCCTCCTCGGAGGCCTCCTGTCACCTTCCCCAGTTAGTGGTTTCTTGTTTATGTGTTACTCATAACCAATTTACCTTTCTCCTTTGCTGCTTTTCCCAATGGGGGGACTGCGCCGTCATCAAACCCGAATGTTGCGTGTACGTACCTGTCGATTCTGGAGTCTTTCTCCGGCATTAAAGGATGTGCATCAACAGACGCAGGTGACCTCCAGCCCTAGGTTACCACCCAGTGACCAGATGGCATCGTGGCATAGCGGAGGCCCTTCCTAGTGGCAGGGCGCCCTCGTAGCCTGGGCGTCACGTGATGTGGCGCAACGTATCGCTGCTGCAGATTGTTCCAAAGCAGCTCCAGTTCGCACTCCCCTATTTCAGCAGACGCTGCCTCTAGGTCCCTGAAACGGAACGGCCACTGGGAACAAACATACCTCCTTCACTCCCGCACGGCGTTCGGTGCCCCGTAACAATGGCCTCCTAGCAGCAGGAAGCAGCAGAAACAACAGTACTGTGCTCCATCCCCCTGCGAGTCTCATTACAAACCAATACACCAGCACGGTAGAAATCCTGCAGTCCCACAGTGGGGTAGTGGCAGGCCAGGCCTCCATGACAACCATTCAGCACTGGCCGAGCGGCAGCATTAAACATGAAATGCTGAGAGAGCCAGCGCCCTTCTACAAAGGCTGGGATGTAGCAAAAGCCCACACAGAGGGCGGCCCAGGCCTCTACCGGGCCTTCAGGTGTGGCAAGATAACGAAGAAATTCTTAACAGGACCCACTTAGGATTAAACAAGTTTTTGGGGGGTTTAAAGGGACTCTCCAAACCTCCACAAACAAGTTTGATTGGAGTCTACAGGAAGGAATGCCCCAAACCTCCACGATTTAGCAGGAGACAAGATGCGGGTGATCGCAGCAGCACCGGGGCCTCTAGGTTAAGAGATGCACCAAGGCTCCAGAGGAAGGTCTTCAGGCCTTAGTCACAGATGAGTAGTTCATTACTTATGTCTCAGGGGAATGCACACTTACTTGTAGACACACAGCTTCAAAGGTAAGTAAGCTCTGGAAAACTGTGTGAGTCGGTCTGGTGCTGTTTTCTGCCCTCTCCCAGTGCCGTTTGCAGAAGCAGACTCTCTTCTTTCCCAGCTCATCTGCATTTCGTCACTGGGCTGACAGAAGCAGCTGCCTGGCTCTGGGCTGGGTCTGGGAACACTGTGACTCTCTGTACGCTCCGGCGCCAGACGCTGTGCTGGGGAAGGAGCAGGAGGGGGTGGGAGGGGAACAGGGACACTGTGAGCTCCACAGACGCAGCCACCATGGGTCTTCTTGCAGGCTGAGAGGCTGTCCCCTGCCTTTGAGACACAGTGTGTGCCTCCAGCGAAGGGACAGCAGGTCCCTTTGCCCACAGGCCCAGGAAGCTCCCATAGGGAGTGGGATGACCTCCTTCCCATCGCTGAGGAGGGCGGTGGCCTCAGGGCCTTTGGCTGTATGCCAAGTGGGCACAGGATGTGTGTGGATGCGCCGGGAGTGGGCCACCCCGAGGGGCTGAAATTCATAGGGCAGCAGGATATAAACAGGGCAGAGGCCCAGGGCCGAGGTGCGGCAAGGATGGCTCTGCTACTGCTGAGCCTGGGGCTGAGCCTCATCTCGGCCCAGGAGTTCAACCCCTACAGGGTTGTGCAGAGGAACTACAACATGGCCAGGGTGGGTCTGCATTGGGGTCTGTGGGGGAGGGACCAGGCCTCAAGGCACCTGTCCTCCCCCAGCCCAGGGCCTCTGACCGGTGATCAGGGTGGCTGTTCCAAGGGGAGCCCACCTCTCCTCCCCAAGCTGTGACAGCAGCCTGGGAGGGCAGGAGTTGCTCCAGGAGGGTAAGGTGGGGGAGGCCTGGGAGAGTGACTGGGGCCCTGAGAGGTCAGAGGGGGCCCTGGGAGGGCAGAGGGGAAACCTGGGGAGCAGAGTGGGAACCAGCAGGGAGATGGGGCCCCTACGAGGACAGAGGGGTTCCCAGGAGTAGAGGGGGGAAAGAAAGGGAGTCTGGGGGAGAACAGGGAGGGGGGCGTTGAGAGGACAGAGGGCAGAACTGGGAGGCAGAGAGGGCCCTGAAAGGGTGGAGGGGCTCTGGCAGGGAGCTAGATGCTCAGGGGCAGGGCCCTGGGAGGGAGGACTGTGGGCACTAAGGGGACCTGCGGCCCCCACCCACTGGAGCCCTTTGTCTTCAGGTTTCAGGGGTCTGGTATTCTATTTTCATGGCCTCAGATGACCCAAGTCGGATTAAAGACGATGGGGACCTAAGGGTCTTCGTCCGGAATATTGAACACTTGAAGAACGGCAGCCTCAGATTTGATTTCCAATGCATGTGCGTGTTGCCCATCTCGGCTGGCATCAGAAAGATCCATGCCCCACCACCCCGATGCACACTCTCTTGCACACACATGCTTGCACACTCACTAGCTGGAGCTCCTGGGAGAGCCTGAGACCCCGGGGCAGGGCGAGGTGGGAGCAGGGACTTGGTCAGCCTAGTGCTGTGTTATTCCCCAGAACATGGAGATGAAGTCGCCCCCCTTCCGAAGCTGCGGTGAGGTTAGAGGCAATGAGGGTGTCAGGGGTGGGGGCTGCAGCAGGGCCCGACTGTGGAATGGCACCCCGGGCATTGGGGTGGGGAGCCTGTGCCCTGGAGGAGGGTTGGCTCTGCCATTGCATGTCCAGGGGGCTGGAGCTCCACTCCCAGCATCATCTTGGCTGGCTTCCAGGGTGCAGGGGGAGTGCGTGGCTGTGGCAGTGGTCTGCAAGAAGACAGAGAAGAATGGGGAATACTCCATCAACTGTGAGTGGAAGCCAGACTCCCCCTGGTCTGACAGCTGGGAGTCCCCTTTCTCCAGGGCCTGGGCCACATTCTGGCAGCCACTAACTTTGGGGATTGTATGTAAGTCCCCGAGAGCTTGACCCTGCACTGAAAGGACCCATCCTGGCACCAACCCTATGGGGGCTCCTGGCCCAGGGGAAGCAGGGAGGCAGGCATTTCAAGCTGGGCTCTGGAAAACAAGCCCACTGAGGGGCCACCAGGCTCTGCAACCCAATGACAAGGAGGGAGGGGGCTGTGCCACTGCTGCCCACACCCTGGGCAAGCGTGGGGTCTCCACTGGGCAAGCACTGTGAGCTCCTCCCCTCCCCCCTCAAAAGGTCACTTGACCTGACATCCTCACTGGAGGCTACACAGCACACCTGTCACAGGACCCTGAGGGTGGTGGGGTCATGGCAACAGCCAGGTCATGCTGAGCCGTGTCTCCACGCAGATGAGGGCGAGAACACAGTGGCAGTCTCAGAGACTGATTACAATCTGTTCATCACCTTCCACCTCCATAACTTCAGGAATGGGAGCGAGACCAACGTGCTGGCACTCTACGGTACTTCCACTGACACCCTCCAACCCCCTCGGAATCTGGCCCAACCCTGGTGGAGGGTCTCACCGTGGCCCCGGGCTTTGGAGAGGTGGTTCCCATTTGCCATTCCTAACCAGACACACTGTTAGGGTGCTGGGTGCTGCAGTCTTTCACCTCCCATCTCACTCAGCACAAAGCCCCTCTGGTCAGGGCATAACCCCCTGCCCAGCCTCAGCACTGCCTGAGCACCCCCGGCCAGGCCCGCCCTTCACACAGAGCCAACTCTGTTCCCAGCACGCGTCCCACAGCTGGAACCCTCCTTCCTGAGCAGATTTGAAGAAACCTGCAGAAAGTACGGACTCGGCCCACAAAATATTGTCGACTTGACCAATGAAGGTCAGCCCCGTGGCTCCCGGACCAAGAGGGAGGCAGGATGGGGTGGGGATGGGGTGTTCCTACCTGCCCCTGTCCCTGCACTGAGAGCCTTCTCTGTCCTCCCAGATCACTGCTACTCCAAGCGCTAGAGGAGCCCACCCAGGAGGCCCGGGAGGACAATGTGTGAGCTGTGGCTCAGGTCAGGGAGGGAGCTGGACGGGGAGAGCTTGGGGCCAATGTCAGAGGCTGGGGGTCCCAGCCCAGGAGGACCACCAGTGCCCACCTCTCCCCTGGTCTGGGAACAGAACACAAGGTGCTTGGTGAAAGGTGCTGTGAAAAGCATCACTGGAGTTGAGGCAGGGATGGGGCCTTCCAGGGTGGTAGGGTCTGAGCAGAAAGTGCGATGAGGCCTGTGGGAGTCTCCAGGGGCTGCGGTCACCAAGAGCAGGTGACTCAGACAACCAGGATTTACTTTCTCACAGCCTGGAGCCCGAGGTCTGCAATCCGAGGCTGTGCTCCCTCCACAGGTGCCAGGGAGGGTCCTTCCTGCCTCTTCCAGCTGTGGGGGCTCCAGGCATCCCTGGTTTGTGGCAGTGTCACTCCAGGCTCTGTCCCCCATCTGCATCTCCTCTTCTGTCTCTTCTAAGGACACCCGTCATTGGATTTAGGCCCGTCTTCAATAAGAATCATCTCCTGTCAAGATCCTTAGCATCACACCTGCAAAGACCCTCTCCCATCAGACGCCCTCCACAGGCCCCAGCCACTAGGAGACGAGCGTGTCCTTTTAGGGACACCACTCAGACCACCAAGGCTCCTCCTCCGAGCTGCCCCTCCCTTCTCAGGAATGGTCCTGGCCCAGCAAAAACCCCCAGGGCCCCCTTCCCTTCCCAAAGCCTGAGCCTCCCAGAGATACGGCCCTAAAGACACCTCTGCATTTCTGCATGAGGGTCCCTGAGGTTAAAGGAGCAGGTGCACCTGTGGTGTGTGGTGGCCTCAAGATGCAAGTGACAGCAACCAAGGCCCTATCCCTTCCCTTTCCTCCCCTCCCTGCCCCTTCCGAGCTCAGCCACTGCCTTTGGGGGAGGATGATCAACAGGGTCACAGGTGAGGCAGGTGCCCGAGGCCCCCTCCATGTTTTGGTGAATAAAAGGGAGGTACCAGCCAAGCTGTGGTGATTTTGTGGGTTGAAAGCATCTGTTAGATGTGAAAATGAAAAGGTGCTCTCGAAATCACAAAACTGCAGAGGGGACAAGAGTGGGTGATTTCTGAAGGTCATAAATGGGAACTAGTGGCCGGAAAGGGGCAGCAGGAGGGGCCCCGCTGACGGTGCAATGTCCTGCACTGTGATCCCAGCGATGGACACGAGACCCTGCACGTTCAGCAAATATGCGGCTCTGTCTGAGGAGCCCTGGCCCTGCCCCTACCCAGGGGAGAACATTTTTCAGCCTAAGACCCAGAAACATTTGCACTGAGGGCATGCACTGGGCAGCATCTGTGTAAGCTCTGCAAGGGGGTCATCCGCAGGTCACCGTCCCGGGTGCTGAGGAAGAACCTGTCCCCAGAGCCAGTGCCTGCTTGTAAAGGAGCCAAGTGGAGCCACCTCAGGATGAGGGCCCTGATGCCACCCCCTACCCCACCTCCATCGGAAGCTCCAGGCTGTAGGGCGAGGCTGGGCAGAGCTTTAGAGCCTGCTGTAAGGGTGCCAGGCTTGGGGAAGGAGCAGCTCCATTGGGATGGGAGGGGTGGGAGGCACCTGGCATTCCCACAGACAGCAGTTTCCAGCCCGTTTGGATCTGGGCCCAGCCTGCTGGGCTGCAGTGGGAACACACGAGACGCTGCCCACTTGGCGGGCCTGTTGGTGTGGAAAGCTGGCCTTGGGGCAAGATGGCTAGTGAGAGTACCCTTCCTGCATTCCAGGAAGTAAAAAAATCGCTCTGCTGAGAGATTTGTTGTCTCAGTGATGAGGCGGGGAGCGGGAACTTAGCTGCAGACCCCCACCCGGCTGCCACAAACAAGCCCACCCTCGCCAGCCTGAACTGCCAGGAGAGCAGCTGCCCCTGGTTTTCCAGACCCACTTCTGAACTGGGCCGCCTCACGGCCAATAAGAGCTGTAAATTGGTCCGATGACAGCCCCGGGAGCCGGGAGGTATGGGGAGATGGGGGTGGGAGACACACGTGCTCAAGGAATGGCTCCTCCCCCCCCAGCAGCTCCTTTAGCCCCAGGAGCAACCATAGCCAAGCTCCCCGCAGACGCTGGCAGCCACCTGGGGAGACAAGATGGCTTCGTGACGGCCCGGACACCTCACCCTCCAGGTCCCCTGGGTTGCCACCATTACTGCCCAAAGGAACAGGGCTAGATCCTGGCATGGCCAGCCTGGGGAAGTACCTGAAGCCCCAACCCTCCCAGCATGCAGCAAAAGGACTGAGAGAAGAGGACTGTCCACAGCCCCATGACATGAGACACCACAGGACCCCAGAAGCTGGGGCAGGGTGAACCCCCGCAGCTCCAAGCCCCTCCACCTCCCATTCCCGGGACACACACTGCTGATCAATCACCGTTCTCTCCCCTTACAAGCCAGACTGGGCCTCAGGGTCATTCTGAACATGGGCTCCAGGCAGGAGGTGAGGCTTGTCTGCCCTGAGATGGGGCCCTGTCCCTCGCCTGCCAGCACCTGTCCACAGTGAGGCCTCTGACTTTGGAGCCCAGCTGTGGAGGGGGGCCCAGGGGAGCTGGCAAGGTGAGGCCTATCCCTCTGCTCCAAGGAGAGGCCAGTGCTAATTCTGCCCTGAGGCCCCCTCCCACCTTGTAGACCAGAGCTCACAGCAGCAGGGCTGGGTGCCGGCCTCAGCCCCAGGGCAGCACCAGCCACCCGCCACCCACAGTGCATGCTCAGTTGCCTCCTTGCTAGGCTGAGCATGGAATCAGGGGACAAGCTCATTTTCTCTACCCCAGTTCCTAGAGGCAAAGGGCACAGGGTATGCGGGAAAACACATGGGGTTACTGAGCAGGACCTGAGAAGCCGGCAACATCCCCCCATTTTGAGATGGCACTGGCCCGTACTTGAGATGTACATGTGTGTACACCAACAGTGTGAACATCACCCATGCCAATACACGAGAGCACACACACATGCATACTGTGATCATATGCACACACACCAGCACATGGGGTGCACACACATGTATGCACACCAACACGACTCAAACACATACACCAACACAGTGCACGCAGGCACACGCACCAATACATTGGTGTACAAACACATGTATGCACACACCAAACAGCAGATACATGCACACACAAGTACACAAATACACACAAATGCACAGCAACAGCACACACATGCACATACATACCAATACAGTGCACACATGCATGCTGCCACTGCACACACATGCACACATACCAACAATCACAGGGGGCCTGGAGCCAGTGTCTCCACATGGGGATAGCAGGGTGAGTCCCTCAGCATCCGGGGCTGGAGACCAGTGCCACCTGTGCTGTGGCTGAAAAACAGGTGGGCACCAAGCACCATACAGAGCTCAGCTCGTCGATCAAAGTAACACAGCCCCTTCCAGATCTCACAGTATAGGGCTGGCAGCAGAACCAGACACTGAGGGCAGGTGACCTCTGCCCAGGTCCCCCATTCCCCATGACAGTGAGGGAGAGGTGACCAGTGGCAGAAGTGGGACCAGCCCTTCCCTTGGAGCCCCCTGGGCCAGGAGAGGACAGCAGGCTTCTCCCCAAGCGCTCCCTGCAGCTCTCAGCGGCACAGAGCAGGAAAGGCAGCTCACAGAGCCGCTTCCAGACACTGAGACCGTGAGGCTACATTGCCTCCGGAGAGCAGGACCCAGAGCACCATGACCCCAGGGCACCAGGGCTGGGTTATTCCAGGATTTCACAGTGCTGAGGAACTTCGCAGAACAAAATCCCCAGCAGCTGCCTGCACACTGAACGGAGGTGGCGAAATCTGCCCAATGAATCGGACTAATCACACACAAGCCACGCGGGTTTTGCTTCCTCCAGGAAAGCTGCTTTCCCTCTTTAATATTCAGTATCCTCTCGTCACAGCCTGCAAGCCTCGCTCAAATTAGGGTGCAGCTGCAACCCAAACCCAAAATACAGTGCTCCAGCATGCAGCAGGGACACACGCCGCTCCAGGTCCGCCGGCCCCGCCGCCGCGTCTGCACAGCCCAGCTGCTAGCAGGCAAAGAAGTTGGGGAAGAGGCTGTCCACCTCGTCCTTCAGGGCCAGGCCCGCAGAGCTCACATCCAAGCCCCACGGCTCCAGAGGGCTGTGCTGGAGCTCCTGGGAGCCAGGCTCAGGGTCCCCTAGGAAGCCTGGCTCTCCCTCATCCAGTGGGCTGCTCTCAGCTGGGGCCCACACAGGGCCACTGCCTCCTCTGCCCTTCCGGGACCCTGGAGGCAAACAGGACACATGAGCAGGGCAGGCAGGTGCCGTAGGGACCAGAGGCAGGCAGGTAGGGTCACAAGAGCAGGGCTCCCACCTCAGCCCAGCTGCCCTGCCCTGCCCTGCCCTGCAGTGTGGAGGCTATGAGGTGGGTGAGCTCACACTTGGTGGCCCCAGACCCAGGACATCTGTTGGGCCAGAACCAGGAAGGGACACCTCAACGCGAAATTGTACACGGAGTGGACACATGTCACATCACAGCGCTGCGTGCCTTTGCCCGCCAGCACGGCTGGGCCAGGGACCTCGCAGACATCGGGTCTACGGAGAAATACGGGGCTCGACACACTGCCAGCTCACGTGCCAGCTCACACACATCACGCTCACTCACACTCTCACAGGTTACCCATGACACTCAATGCCGGATGAGGCCCAACAGCTAAGTCCCAACAGAAGAGAAGATGTGGGCTCACACTCAGACCCTGGGACCCCGCATCACACACGCTGGGCCTGAGTCCCAACTCCCCAGCTCACGGCAGGTGCTGATGCAGGAGATCTAGCCCTGGACCCAGGGCCCCACTCACCCTGCCACGAGCTGGGACCAGCAGCGGTCAGCAGGAAGGACGTCCCATCCTCCACATCAGACCCCAGCACACACCTGGAGGTGAGGAGCCCTCCCTCAGTGGCCACAGGTGAGCCCAGGCCTTGAGCTCAGGGTAACACCTGGGCCCTAAGTCTTGCAAAGGCAGCTTCCAATGCCAAGCTCTGGGCCCTGCTCCTAGCAGGCTCAGCCCTGTGCAGTGGGGAGAAGTGCAGAAGCCATGGCCGCCGAGGACATGGGTCAGCAACTCTCCTGGCCCCTCATCTGTCCTGTGGAGCATCTCTGCCCGTTCCTCACTAGCCGTAGGCCCGCTCGTCTTGTCCCCTCCCTCCCCTCTCCCACACCCCAGCTGGTGTGCGCTCAGGAAATACAAACTCATTTTACTATCAGCCAAAACAAATGACAATTAGGATGACAAACCTGTTTCCAGAAACACACATTAGAAAGCCCCACAGCCACGCTGGCTGGTCCTGCCCTGGGCTTCCGCCTGGGCCTTGGCCTCCCCCGCACAACCACAGAGGAAGCAGGTATGGAAGCTTCCCGACGCTGAGAAAGGGGACCCAGGCAGGGCTGGGAGGAGGCTGGCATGGCAGGGCAGGCTCACACACACACATACACACACACACACGGCTCACTCATGCACACACAAGCGTGTACACCACCTGGGCACTCACCCGGCCTCCTGCACAGGCATGGGGGCCTCATCAGCTGGCTCCCCCAGAGATGCAGCCTCCACAGCCAGGGATCCAGCCTGGCCCAACCAGCCAGAGGCCTCACTGCTCGACACGGGCGAGGTCAGCTGCTGCAAGAACGGAGGCCAGGGCAAGGGTGGCCTCTCAGCCTTAGGAAGACTCAGGCCTGGGGGCCATGGCACTGGGCTGGAAGGTTCTGGAAGAGAAGTCAAAATGGGGGTCAGTCTTCCCTGCAGGCCTCACAGGCCTCCCATGAAGACCTCATGACTCACAGGCTGGGTCCACTCATGCTGACCGAGCACCCACCCTGCTGCCGGCACCCTGCAGCAGGGACATGCAGGAGGAAGCTGAGAAGCAGGTCGCAGACAGGTAAATGGGAAGAGACGAACGCCCAAGGGGGAGTGCCCAATACCTGGGGTCTGAGGGCTTCCTAGAGGAGGTGCTGGCTTGGCCAGCTGCAAGGGGCTTGGATCAGGGGACCCTCTCAGTGCCACCTCCTGGACCTTGAGCTCTGCCCTCAGACCTGTTCCGGGCCCGCATGCCTGGCTGGTGGGTTTCCAGAGTGCCCTGATGACCCCAGCTCTGCCCCCAGCCCTGCCAACTGCATGACTACTCCTGGCCACAGCCACACTAACAGACAGCCAAAAGGCACAGCCCTGCCCCTCATGGCACCTGGCGACTTCCAGGCACAAGCACAGCGGGGACCGAGGGGAGCTTGGTCATGAGAGGCACCCTGCGGGGCCACCCGCAGAGGGACCAGAGCTCAGCTGTGGGTGGCATCAGGGACAAAGGCCCTGTGTGGCAGACGGAACAGCTGGGAGGCCGAAGGCCCCTGGCTCACCCCAATTACTGCTCCCACCTCGGGCGAGCAGCATAGGCGGAGGGGCAGATGGAGCACCGCAGGGAAACAGCGGGCCGCATCCAGCACACACGCCAGCCAGATGGGAGGAAGGAAGCAGGGCTGCAAAGCTGGACAGAGCGGCCAGGACAGGCTGAGTCCCTCTAGGTCCCCAGGCTTCCCCCAGACCCAGGGACCCAGGGAGTGACCAGGACAGGGCCCAGTCCCTCTACGTCCCCATGCTTCCTGAAGACCCAGGAACCCGGGAAGAGGAGCTGTGGGAGGCCCCATCCTTGGGGCTCAGAGGCAGGTGAGGAAATGGACCCGCTTAGTCCTTCCCTTCCCTAGAGCACAGGGAGGTCAGGAGACAGGACGGAGGGAACAGCCCAGAGGAGGACTCTGGCTAGGACTCTCCCTCAAGCCACACCTACTCCCTCTGGAGACCGCATTCCTCCTTCACACAAAAACCAGGGCCCTTCGAGGCCAGCCTTCAACAACAGGTGGGTTTCTCACTAACAGAAGTCCCTGGGGGAACTTCAAATCCCCCTTTTGAAAACAGTCCAGTTGTTCTCGGGGGTAACACACAGTCTGGCCCAGCTCCCCAGGCCCAGGGCACCCCAGATGCATACCCAGGACTCACCTGGGAAAGAGGGCGGCCCACCCTGCACATGGCACAGCCCCGACAGTGCCTCACGCTCATCCGTGCCCAGGGCCAGGCAGCTCGGGGGGTCCCACTGCCTGGAGGATGCAAGGATGTGGGGGAGGGGCTCTGGGCCCACAGGACGAGCTGATGCCAGATCCTGGGAGGATGCAAGGATGTGGGGGAGGGGCTCTGGGCCCGCATGACGGGCTGATGCCAGATCCCGGGGCCGAGGGTTTTCCAGAAGCACCTTCGAATCTGGGGTTCTAAAAAGAGCAACATGATGATCCTGGGTCTGCCCCCAAGCCCCCTTGGAAGGCTTCTCCCACCTACCCACCCCAAAAGCAGAGGGTTGGACCTGTCCCCAGAACACCCAAGGTACCACCTACCACTGAGACAGCTTCTGCCTCGGGGCCCTGAGCCAGCCAAGCTCCACAGCTGCCTCCCCAATTTCTCTCTGCCCAACTCTCCTGGTTCTAGACCCTTCCACAGCTAATTAGCCACCAGCCCCATGCCCCAGCCCACTTTGGGGTAAAATGGCTACATTTAAATACAAGTTGCAGATAGTCTCTTAGCCTGGGAAGCTGTCATTCTGAAAAGAACCAAATCATCTTGACCTCAGAAAACTCCATTCCTGAAGCTGCCCACAGGGAGGGTGCGACACCTCACTGACCATGTGCAAAGTGCCTGCATGCAGGAGCAGAAGAGACTCCGCCCAGGCACCTCCCACCTCCATGCCAGCCCAGGCCCCCGAGGCCACTGACCACACTCCCCTTCCCGGAGCTCACCCACCTGACTGCCTGAGTCGGCAGGTCCCAGGGCAGGCCACCAGCTGCGGAGGCCACGCCAGGCCCCAGGCTGCACCCACCCGAGGACGTGCCAGGGGGCTTTGGGTCTGCTGCTCACAGGGTCACCCAGCCCTGCAGAGCTGGCCCCAGGAGACACTCACCGAGCCCCACCAGATGCTCCTGCCCCAGTGTCTGGCACACCTGCTGGAATCTGACTCGACAGCGTCAACTGTAGAACATTCTCCTGCAATGAGGGCCACATCTCCTTAGAGGAAGCAAGAAGCCGAAATTTAAACAAAGTTGTAAGCCAAGAACAGAGATAGTCCACTGGGAAGCACATGAGAGAGCGGGGTGTGGCCAGACTGGCACCCTGGGGCCTGGAGGGTCGCTGTGAGCTCAGTCCCTGCTTGGGACTGGGGGTGAGGGTGCAGGCTGACAATGAGGCTGAGGTCCCACCTCTGAGAGACCCCACCATCCCTGAATTAGGCCATGAATACCCAGGGGCCTCACCACAAACGCTGGGACCCTCATCTTACAGATATCAAGACAGCTTCATTCCCCAAGTGGGTCCTCAGCCCTGGCACTCCCGGGGTCAGCCAGAGCCCCCAGGGCTTTGGAGAGGACACAGTAGCCTCTCTTGGGGATGTGCAGAGAAATGATCTATGGGGTGCTCAGCCAGGGAGATCAGAGGACCCCGACTCTCCCCAGAACTGGCACAGAGCATCAGGGCAGCCCAGCAATGAACAGGACTCAGGCACATGAAGGCTGGAAAGCCTGCTCCCTTCCAGAGAGAGAGTGTTAACAGGCAGGGCCTGAACAAATGAGGAAGTACCCTGCTGAAAACATGCCCTGCCCTTGCCGTGGAGGCCAAGGGAGCCGGGGACCGCAGGGGACGTGCGGCCTGCAGGGTGGTGAGATGTCCGGTCACCAGGACACCAGAGGACTGACCATGTCAGATGTCCGGTCACCAGGACACCAGAGGACTGACCTTACAACTCACAGCGTGCCTCTCCTGGCCAGGCCCCAGGGTGCTGACGAGCCGAAGGAACTGCACAGACATCTCCAGGACCGAGGCCATGTCCTCCCGCCGGCCATCAAACTGGGGCAGCAGGGCTCGCAGACGCTCACAGCTCAAGGAGATCCGCTTCCTGCTTCCGGTCAAGAAACAAATAGCTCTGGGCCCTCCAGCCTCCAGCAGAATAGACAGCAAGCGCTAGAACCTACCAGAGACACCCTGGGGGCTCGTCAGGCAGAGGAGACCACTGGGCCCCCGAGACAGGACCACGGAGAGGTCGCCCCCGTGGTCTGAAGCCCCCAGATCCACATCAGAGCATAGCCTGAGCCGGTCAGACCCCTGGGCCCCAGCGACAGGCCGTCCAGCCCAGGCCCAAGCCATGGCTGCTTTGGAGAGGACAGGGGGGTCACGGGGGCACAGCCTCCAGAGCAAGGCAGGGCTGCAGAATGTCCCCCAGCACGGCTTTTCTGGATGACTTGGAGACGTGCAGCCCATCCTTCCACTGGGCACACGCCGCGAGCCCCTCCCAGCTGCCTGACATCCGGTGGCAGTCACAAAACTAATCTCACCCACTCCACCCGTTTACAGCGCCCCGACCCAGGGAGGCACCGGCCACTCACCTGCGCTCCCTCTCGCTGATCACGTTCCGCGGGAGGAAGGGGCTAGGACCCACAGTCACCAGAGGAGCCTTGGGCGGGCGAGAGCCCTGGGCCAAGTCCTCGCAGCAAGAGAGGGCACCAGATAGGGAGGAGCCGCTGCCGAGAGAGCCAAGAGCACCGGGCTCTGAGAACCCCAGAAAACGCCACCAGGAGCCCCAAATGCCGCAGTGGGTGTCTTTGGGGTGCGGGTGGAGGCCAAGACCTGGGTCACGCAGGGACACGGCCCAGCTCTCTCTGCACCGCTTCCCCTCCCCCAGGGTCCAGGGTTTAGCCCCACTGGGGCCAGGAGGAGTGGAGACTGCAGACTTGCTGAAGCACCCCTGGGTACAGGCCTTGAGCCCCCACACCCTTGGCCCCCAGCCTAATTCCTCACTTGCATCCCCCAACAGTGGGGACTCCAGAGACCTCCGGGTCAGGCTCGGAGCACCAGGACGCCATGACCTTGCAGCTACAGAGAGACCCCAGTGCACGGCTCCTTCCGCCCGCCAGTCCCGCCCCTAGCCCCGCCCCCTCACGTGTGCTCTGCCCACCTGCCACGTGCTTTCCACCCAGCCCGCCCCCACTCTCCCACTCACGCTCCACCCCCACGCCTCAGTGCCTGCGCTCTGGCCCTCCCCTCGTATCCAGCCCCAGGCCCACGTGACCCGTGTTCCTGCACAGAAGGTGCTGGAAAACAACTCGGAAGGTCCACCCACACCAAGCCCCGTGGAACGCGGGGGGAAGGGGCCCCAGCCTAGGTAGCCCTGCCTCCGTCCTCACCTTCCCCGGGATCTCGGGTGCCCCTGGCACTTTGGAGACACGGGCTGTGCCCTTAGGAGCCCAGCGCCTGGTGGGAGTGGGTGGGCTGACCTGAGCTGTTCAGCCCAGGCCTATGGGACCCAGGGACTGGGAAGGGTAGGGATACCCGCCTGCCCCCCAGGTCTAGTCCCCTTGCGGGGTGCTGTGCCTCAGAGTATTGTCACTATCCACCCTGCTGGGTCTCCCAGAGCCAGGGGCATCCTGTCCCCACCCCAGGACACTGTGGCATGCGCCCTTCCTCCAGCTCAGCTCTGGCGGGCACGCTCAGTGCCGTCTGTCCCTTTCCCCGGGCCCTGCCCAGGCAGCCCCAGCTCCACCCCCTCACACTCTCGGCAGGTTTCTGGGGGGTTGCGGGATCCCTCCAAGTTAAGAAAGCTCCGCCACTGGGTCTCTGCTCACCTCCCCAGTGAACTCAGGGAGCCGCCCTTCGCTGAGCTTGAGTCACCCGATAAATGCTTGCGGGGGACGGTGGAGAGAAGGGGGAGATGGAGACATCTCCTTTCCTCTTTCACAAAGGTGGGGACTCCTCAGGGAAGCAGAGGGGACGAGGGTGGGCTGTGAGGCTGGCCTGCAGTTCGGAGGACGTCCCTGGCTGTCGGTAGCTGGAAGAGGTGGGTGGGCCGCAGGGCCTCTGCTCCTGAGAGGGGCGGCAAGATGGAGCGTGGGCAGGTGCCACCACAGAGGGGGCGTCTGCCTGGGGTGCGCCAGTGTCCTGTAGAGAAGGCAGGGTCTGGGCCTCAGGCTGGCATCCTGGATTTGGGGCCAAGTTTGGGTGAAGGGTGTTGGGAGCAGCACCAGGGCCCGAGTGGAGGCAGGTTACGGATGACTTAAGGGGGTCTGTCCATCCCTACTCAGCCGGGCCACCGCTGCAGGTCAGATATGGATGGGGGTCGGGCTGGAGAGGAGGCAAAAGCCCTCGGGGAGTTGGGCCCGCTCCGGGGTCTGCTCCTGATTGGGGAAGGTAGACGGGCTGGCGATCTGGGGCTCCTCAGTGGTAGAGTGGGGCCAAGTTTTTGTTTCCATAAAGCCCTTGAATGTGATCGAACCTTCGACTCTCCTGCTGCTGAGAACACGTGTAATTACTGCTAATTAATCACAGACGCAGGAGGCGCGTCCTCTCAGTGGCGGTGTGCCAGGCAGGAGGGCATTGGCAGAAAGGCCACTCTGGCCCTGGCGGCACAGGCTGAACCTCTTCCGGGGACCTCCCGGAGTGTCCCCTCCCACCCCAAACCATCCGTGTTCGCCTTGCTGCCTCCTGGAAAAACAGGGAAGGACCCTCCGGAGATACACTGGGAGGTCAGGGACGGTGAAGTCCGCGCCATGCGCTCTCCAAAGGGACCTGGCCTCCCCCTGCCCCTTGTGGCCACAGTCCTGGCTTAGTGAGGGGCCTGGTCCGCGCTGCAGACCAACAAAGCTCTGAGGACAGAAATCGCAGCTCCCCAGAGGCCGATTGAGCCAGGGTGACGCATGTGCCATAACGTGAGCACGTGCGCGGAAAGGGGGCCCGCAGGGGGCCCCTCTCCTTCCTGGTCGTTGGGCTACAGCATCTGAAGTTGGGGCCCCTTGTCACCCGTCTAAAGGCGCTGTGTGCGCCCGTGCGGCTGAGAGCACAGGGCGGGATGCAGTCACCCCCTCCCCAGCCTGGCCCAAGGTGTGGTGCCCACCGATGGAAGCCGCAGCCTGTGCGGGGCGGGACGGGGGGGTGTCGACCAGGGCAGAGCAGCACGTGAGGAGGTGCTGACGGTCCCGGGCTTGGTGGGTGGAAGCTAACGGTCAGAGGTCAGAGCCGCGCGTGTGCATTTGCTGCCCGCAAAGGACCCTGAGCCCCCTGTGCCCCCGCCTACCACGGAGCCCTCCCAAGGTTGTGGCGCCTGACGGCCGCACTGCTCTGGGGATTTTCAAGCCGTTAACGAACCCCGTCCTCTTCGCCGGAGTTTGGAGGGCTCCGAGGGCCGCCGTGGGGGCGGGTCCCTGCAGACCCCGCCCCGTCCCAGCCTGGCCCGGAGCCGCCGCGGGTCGGCAGGGGGCGCGCGCGAGCAGAAGCCGGAACCCGAGCCTGGAACCGGTTTCCCCGTTCACCCCGCACCCCCCGCGCTCATCTGCGAGGAAGGAAAAAAAGGGTTTTCAGGGCAAAGCGAGGGGAGAAGGTGGTGGCTTCCCCTCGGGTCGGGTCGGAGCGGCCGGGCGCATGCCACTCCCTGACGGGGCGCAAAGCCCAGGGGGCGTCTACCCGGAGGCGCGCGGCGGGGCTGTAACAACCGGACCTTCGAGTTCGACGACCGCGGATGCGCCTCCAGGGACCGTCCGCTGCGCCCTCCCCACGCAACGGCCCCGGTGTAACCAGCACCAGCCCCGTGAAGACCCCCCAAGTTCCCCCTCAGACTCCACACCCTCCAAGATTCCCCATTCCCAGGACCCACGAGCGCCCTCCCCGACCACCACGGGGAACACAGGTGCCCCTCAGGGTAGGCCTCGCTTTCCCTAACAACCAGCAGGTGCCCAGGCAGCAGCATCCGTCCCCATCTGTCCTCGACCTGGCGAGAAGGTGGGGGGAATGGCCGTGGCTGGATGGAGGTCCTGAGCATCTCCCAGGTGGAGGGAGTGGCAGGGAGGCTGGAGGCGGTGCAGGGCCTTCCACCCCGCCCCCAGCCCCTTCCCTCACCCCTGCCTGGGGAGGAAGTTTCCATCCCTCCTGTGTGGGGTGCCCGGCGAGGTCACCTCACACAGTAAGGGGTTTCCAGGGCAGCCCTTCTGAGGAAGAACCCCCCCACCGGAAGTGGGCTAAGTGGCTATCAGATGGGGGCGGGAGTCCTGGGTTCTGGTCACTTGGTGTTGTCTGGCTGGTCATTCCTCTTTCCCCGCTGGCCTATCCCTAGGAGGAGAGGGTCAGCTGAGGGCATTCAGGTGACCTGGAGCCAGCTGTTTCCTGTGCACGTGGTTCCTACCCACCCAGTGACAGCAGCCGAGTGGACAATCCGGAGGGGAGGTTGCCCGGGGTACTGGTTCCCCCATCCTCCCCCAAACCCCTCGGCCCTTGAAGACAGGCAGGCCTGCTCCTCACCCTGTGCCCAGAGCCAGACTCCAGGGGACCCTGGGCAAAGATGGTCACTGTCTTGGGTGAGCCCTTTCTTCTGAGTCCTGGCCAGTCTCAGCCTGTCCTGAGGCCAGAGAAGAGCATGGACGATCACATCTGGGAGCAGGAGGCTGGGTGCTGCTGCCCATTTGTTCTGCGAGACTCAGTTTCCCCATGTGTAAAATGAGGGGGTGGGGCGGATGGTCGTTAATGGCTGCCTCTGGTGAGGGACCAGGCTGGAGGGACCAGGTTCCCAGCATCAAGAGGCAGGCACAGCACCCACCTGGCCCCTATGGGAGCCCGGGATGCAGCATGGGTGAGAAGCAAGTGCTCTGAGGGTGGACAGAGACTTGGTGATGTCCTTGGGAAGTGGGCACAGCCTGCATCTGCTCTAAGGGGCCATGGGGGGGATGTCTGTCAGGCACAGAGAAAATGACCCAAGGGGGTCCTGGATTGCTCTCATCTTTATGGGCTGGCCGACCCTGCCATCTCCCTCCCCAGCCTGGTATTGCCCTCCCTGGCCATTCTGCTCAAGTTTATCACCTGCCCTGCTGGGCCTGCCCTGCTCCAGATGAGGTGGCAGGACTGTGCCCTCAGTGTCCAGCTTTCAGCTCTAAGCATCATCAGCTGGCTCCTTCCAGACACCTGTCTCCCAACCAGCCCTGCCCACCCATCCGGGACAGCTCCTCCTCCCGCCAGACAGAGCTGGCCTCTGTCCCAACAGATTCCCTGTCACACTGCAGGCGGAGCAGCTGCCAGCACTGGGGGATGTCAGGCGGGCCGGCAGAGAGCCCTTCAGGGAGAATCGGGCTTGGTGAGGGACCAGGACTCAGACTCGGCTGGGCTGGGTGAGAGGGAAGCTGAGCTCCAGGTGAAGCCAGGGCAGGTGGGCCAGGCAGGTGGCTTCGGCTGCAGAAGGAAGAGCCTCAGTGCTGCCGGTTGGGTGGGGGAGGTGAGGCACAGGGCAGCGGCATGGTCAGAACCCCGGCCCTGGAGCCCCGTGGCCTGGTCGGGTGGGTGGTGGAGCTCTGTGGGGCAGGTTTCCGCACCAGGTCTCCTGGGGAAGTGGGGCACCAGGCAGCAGCACCGTCAGAACCCCAGCCCTGGAGCCCTGGTGGCCTTGGTACTTGCTGGGCTTTGAGCAGTCCTCTGTCTTTCCTGGGTGCTGGAGGATGCCAACCTTGGTACTGTAGTTCAGGGGAGGGCAAGAGGTGCTGGAACACCCCTCCCCACTCCAGTGCCCCAGCGCCAACCCCCAGCTCCATCCCATTCTCACCCCAGAGTCAGTCCTGAGGCTGCAAGGCTGGAAGGTGGGGCTACAGGTTGCAGGAGTCTTCACTGGCCTCCGCCCCCTTTCTGGCCTCCAGTCTCTGTGCTCCCACCCCCGTGCCATGGAGTCCCAGGCCCTCAGCCACCTCTCCACAAGCCCTGGAGATGACAGCTTTTGTAGGAGAGGGAGGGGCTGGTGGCCCTGGTGGGCCCAGAGTTGGCAAGTGCCCACCCCTACCCAGCGCACTTCCCATCAGAGCCCCAGCCAGGCCCTTCCTGGAGCTACCAGTTCCCAGCAGCCCTGCTCCAGGGCAGGTCTGGGACCATCCTGGCCCTGATGGGATCAGGCCCTGGCATCCTGCCAGGGCACATGCCTAGCCCAAGGTCCCAGCCAGCCCTCTAGGCCCATATTAGGGAGTAGTGCCTTCAGCAGCAGGAAGTAGCTCAGGCCCCATGGGAAAGGTTTGAGGGCCCAAGGTACCGCCCAGCACTGGCCGGCAGGAGGGACAGCTCGGGCCATGGGAATCTCAGGAGTCTGCTGTGGCCCCTCGGTGGCCAGCTCAGAAGGACAGAGGTGAGTAAGAAGGGAGCGGGTGGGTTGCCCACAACGGCCTTTGCTTCTGTCCTCGTGGCTGGCCTGGGTGTGGGCTGTGTCCTGACACCACTGGCCTCCTAGTATGCTGGTCTGTTTCCGCCACTGCATGGGGAGCTCTTAATTAGCACAGAAAGTTACTGGGATGAGCTTGGAGTAGCAGCGGGGGGGCTTTCGTGGGGCCATCCCATGCCTTTGGAGGGCGTTGGGGGGTGTCTCAGGCTCTCCCCTGAGGCTTCTTGTCCTGCTACCCAGGGATGCCAACTTGCAGGCTCTGCCCAGGCGCTGCTGGCCCTCAGGGGGATGGTGTCTCTTTGTTTTTCATAAACAATCCCAGGTTTATCTGCAACAGGAAAGTTTGTCCAGGTGTGTCCCAGCCCCTCATGGGCATCCTGTACCCCTCAACCCCAAACACAAGCTCTGAGTGTGTCTGTGCAGCATGGTGTGCACCAGGTAGGCACACACGTGAGCACATGTGTGAGGGCCGGAAAAGGATGTATGGGGCCTGCCAGCCAGCCTGTGTGACCTTGAAGTCACCAGCCCTGAGTCTAGGGAAAGGCAGGCTGGGCTCAGCGTGCACAGGTTAGGTGGCTGGGTGCCAAGCACCGGTTAAATGGGCATCTTTCAAAGGTGTCTTGGGACCCTTCCCAGCTGTGTGGACACGGTCACCCACATTCACCCAGACCTGCTTCTACCTGTGGAACTCGGAGGTGAGCCAGCTGGACTGGAACTGAGGCCAGGCTGCACTTGCTCCAGGGAGGTGAGACCAGAGCTAGCAGCTGGCAAGTGTAAAAGGTTTGCAGGAGACTGTGGCAGGCAGAGGTGGCCAGATTCCTGGGGTTGGGTCCCTGGGAAGGCCCTTCTTGAGAGGGGCAGAAGACAAGGAGGTGGGGGGTGGCCTCACTGGAGCAAAGGTGGGGGCCTCAGGAGATGGAGGTCACTGCAGGACCAGGGACTGGACTGGCACAGGATGGACACCCAGGGAGGAGCATCCTGGAGGAACCCTAGGAGCTGTGTCTGTGAGGGTAGTCCATCCCAGGACTGAGATGCAGCAGCTGTGTGAGCTCTGCTGGGTCAATTCACCTCTCAGGGCCTCAGTTTCCTCATCTGTAGAGTAGGAGCGCTAGCACATACCTGACAAGGTTGTGTTGAGATCTTACTGGCAGCACACCTTGTGTTTACAAAGCTGTGTTGGTGTTGGGAGCTTCCACGCAGGCCAGTTGGTCTTTGCTTTGTCATGCTCCAGCCAGCATGGACACATCAGAGCTAAGCATTTGTCCAGTAACTTCCCTGAGATGGATTCTTAAGAGTGGAATTTCCTGGTTGAAAGATTCCCACAGTGTTAAGACACTTGCCACATGGTCCGTGGCCCCTGAGGGTGGCACTGGCTCCCTCTCACACCAGTGCAAGGTGCAGCATGTGCCAGCTGCCACTGTCTCCTTGGCACTCTCCCTCTGGGGCAACTGTGTCCTGCCAGGCACCACTCAGGCCTCAGAGGCTAAGACACAGCTGGCCCCTTGGTGCCCAGGAAAAGCACCCAAACCTCCTCCTTTGTAGCCACTCTGGGGCACTCCACAGGAGAGGCAAAGGGGACTTCCATCTGCTTGTGCCCCTCTCCAGGGGCCAGAAGTGGGACCTCGTGCTTCGAAGGTACCAAGAATGCTTTCCCCTGGGGCAGACTCAAGCTGTGGCAGGCAGCCAGGGCTCAGAGCACCAGGTGCAGTGGCTCTCCAGCAGATTTTCCTGACTCCCAGCCACATTGAAGGAGGGGGCTGAGCTGGGGCAGGCATTGGGAGTACCAGTGAATTGGTCATTTTCTGAGCATGGTAGCAGCTCAGGGTATGGACTGCTAGACGGATCAGGGGCTCTGTGCCTTGGCCTCCCTAAAGCAGCCCAAACCTCCCATAGTTAATGGGTGCTGAGGAAACGGAAGCCCCACTTGTGCCTTAGTTTCCAAATGAGGCCCCAGGCCAGGCTCCATGGGTCATGTCTGTGATCTCAGTGCTTTTGGAGACTAAGGCAGGAGGATCATTTGAGACCAGGAGTTCGAGACCAACCTAAGCACATAGCAAGACCTTGTCTCTACAAAAAACAGGTGCTCAGCATGATCAGCACAGGGAGTTGGCACAGCTCTCTGGGGGAATGAGCAGGGGCATGGCGGTGCCTTCACAGCTGTGGGAGTGAGCTTCTCCAGGCCCCACCCTGGCCTCCCCACCCTCAGGCTGTCATCCTAGCAGGGCTGTCCCCAAGGGTCCCCTACCAGCTCCAGGCTGTGCTCCTTGCCGGGATCACCCCTGCCACCAGCTGCCAGCTCAGCTTGGGGGACTGATGGCTGACATGGGTGTAGTCACCAGACACCTCCCAGCAGCCACAGCATGGCCAGGTGCAGGGGGTGTGGGCAGCTGCAGCTGGAGAATGGGGTGTGGCTTGTGGGAAGGACCAGCCAAGGGTCCCGGGCACCCAGGGGACGAGTGCTGGACCCTGAGATGGACTTGCTGCCTGGCAGTGAGTGACCGGCTCACTGCTGCCAGCTGCAGGGGGTGGGGGCAGCAGAGGAGCTCACCTGGTGTCTGGCCCAAGCCCAGGATGGACCGGGGATGGGAGCTGCATGACCTCATGACCTCATGACCAACAACCTTGGGCATGGGTCCAGGGGCGATGGCCCAACAGCCTCGTCTGAGGCCCCTGTGTCCACTGTGCTGCCGGCCCTCCCCCTTCCCTCCAGGCTGGGAGAAGCTGCTCTGAAGTCCATCTGGGTAAATCTACAGCATGATTTCAGCTACTCCACGTGTTTTGAGCTTTCACTTTGGATCTGAAAGCATCTCAGGGGTTGATGCTGAGCAGCCACCCTCACATGGGCAAGAAGACCCTCCCCTAAAGAGAGGAGATGTCACCCAGGACACTTGCCTGCCCAGCTGCCTGGGCACCTTCAGCAGCTCTGACTTTTTAATCATTGTGCAAAAGCAGCATCGAATTTTTCTGCCATGGTCAGCAGAGAGGTTCTGCAGCTCTGCACTTGCTGGGCATGAAGCCCAGCACTCAAACGCCCCCACCACAGTGATGCTGTGCCTGCCTCGGAGACTCTCCTGGACACTGGGTAGGGATGCCCACGCACATGCAGGAACTCACACACATCCATGCACATGCACACATGTGTCCATATGTCCATGTGCACACATACGCCCACAGCCATGTGTGCATATATGCACATTGTACATACATGCAGGCAAACCCAGCCACACGTGCACACATTTGTACACATGCCTGTGCACATGCATGCTCATTTACATGCACATCAGCATGCATGTGTGCATTTACATGCTTACATGTGCACACGTGTGCTCATTTACATGCATGTCAGCATGCATGTGTGTATTTACATGTGCACACGTGCTCATTTCATGCCTGTCAGCATGCATGTGCGTATTTGTATGCTTATATGTGCACACGCGTGCTCATTTCATATGTGTCAGCATGTATGTGCATGTTTACATGTGCACATGTGTGCTCATTTGCATGCATGTCAGCATGTGCATATTTGCATGTGCACATGTACGTTCATTTACATGCATGTTGTGTTGTCTTTACGTGCTTACATGTGCACATGTGTTCTTTGACATGCATGTCAGCGTGTCTGCTTGCATGTGCACGCATGTTCTCATTTACATGTATGTGTATGTATTTACATGCTTACATGTGCACATGCATTCTCATCTCCCTCCTCCCTGACTTCTCTGTCAAACATGGCTTGCCCAGCCCCTGAAAATTTTGAACTGAGTGTGAACAAGAATATATTTTAGGAGAGAAAGCTCATTCCCTTAGCCAAAGACAGTCACAGTCTTTAGTTGTTGTTTATTGAGACAGAGTCTAGCTCCGTCACCCAGGCTGGAGTGCAGTGACACAGTCATGGCTCACTGCAGCCTCAACCTCATGGGCTCAAGTGATCCTCCCACTTCAGCCTCCTGAGCAGTTGGGACTACAGGTGCCATGCCTGGCTAACTTCTGTATTTTTTGTAGAGGCAGGGTTTTGCCATGCTGCCCAGGCAGATCTTGAGCTCCTGGGCTCAAGTGATTTGCCCACCTCAGCCTCCCAGAGTGCTGGGCTTACAGGCATGAGGCACCGTGCTGGGCCACAAGCAATCTTAAAAGAAGTTTTTGCCGGGAAGTATGTCTTTTCCTCTCCTGAGAGGCAGGCTCTCTGCCAGTTTCTGAGCCCCAGCCAGGGCAGAAATAAGGGCCTGGTGAAGCTGGAGTTTGGGGAGGGAGTCTTTAGCCCTTAGCTGTTCTGTTTCCATAACACATGTCATGCATGTTATATTCCCTTTGAAAGGCACAAAGGATGAGGTACTGCCCTAGAACCCCACCCTGCCTCCAGCACGGTGGCTGCCAGTGTGTGGGGACAGTGTCTGTACATCACCTACGAGCTGGGTGCCCAGAGAAACCCACCTCTTGTCTAGCGTTCTGTGGAAAGAGGTGGTGTTTCGTTAAATGGGGTCCATTAAATGTCATTCTGTGTGTGTAGCAATGCGCCCACGCAGGCTCATGGAGACTGCACGCACAGAGCAGCCTTGGCTGTAGCTGTCAGTCCCTCCTGAATTCACGGACATGCAGGCTGCTTGCAATGTTCACCTTCATTCATGAGGCCGTATGAAAACCCATGCCTGGGCTGCCTCGGACACTGATCGAGGATGTCCCCAGGTAGGGGTTCCAAGTTGGAGAGGACCCACAATTCCGGCCTAATTAGTCCAGCACTCCCAACCTGAGGGACACTCTGCAAGAGCCCCAGATTGCAGAGCCCCCAGATGCTCCCCGTTCTCCAGCCACAGCCAGTCACTGGCACAGGAGACTGTCCAGCTCTACATCTCTCAAATCACTGGCGAGGTAGCTTGCCTGGTCTTCACCCACGAGCTGCTGTCCTCTCCTCTCTGAAACTCACTCATCCATCCTTTGAGTTGTTTTTTCTTTTTTGAGATGGAATCTCACTCTGTTGCCCAGGCTGGAGTGCAGTGGCACCATCTTGGTTCACTGCAACCTCCGCCTCACAGGTTCAAGTGACGGGTTCAAGCGATTCTCCTTCTCCTGCCTCAGTTTGCCAAGTAGCTGGGATTAGAGGTATGTGCCACCACATCCAGCTAATTACCGTATTTTTAGTAGAGACAAGGTTTCACCATGTTGGCCGGGTTGGTCTCGAACTCCTTACCCCGGGTGATCCACCCACCTCAGCCTCCCAAAGTGCTGGGATGACAGGCGTGAGCCGCCACACCCGGCCATGTTTTCTGCCAGACTGTTCCTTCCCACAGGACCTGTGGGCACCGGGCTGTGTTCTGATGGCATTATTACTGTTGCAGATATGTTCTTCCTGTGGGCCGCTTGTTCTTTCAGTTGCCAGTGATGTCTTTTGCTAAACAGCAGTGTTTTATTCAGATGGAGAAGCATTTATACATCTATTCCTCTCGGAATAGGTGCTGTTTGGTGTTTGTATGTTAAATAAAAGGCCTTCTCAGCTCTAAACACTTTTCCCTGTATTTTCTTTCCATCTTGTCCTTGGTTTGGGGCTGCAGTGTGGAGTCTAATCGTATTTTATCCAACAGAAGGCACGTTGCATAACGCAGGCTGGAGCCAGATACTGGTTCAAGTACCAGCCCTCCCGAGGCAAGGAGACAAGTGATAAGCAAGTATAAATAAGGAACAAGGTTAAGTGCATTCCTGAAGTTCTCCAGCCTCCATTTCTCTGTCAGCACAACAGGGAGGATGTCATCCCTCCTGATATTTGCAACCATTACCTGGGGCAGGACTCGTGGAGCTGCATCCATCCCAGTACCATAGGGCCGAGGAGTGCCTCCTGCCTCCTTTCCCGAGCCTGGATTCCAACATGGGCTTCATCCAGTCAAGGCATTCTGCTGTGTCTCAGCCCTCTGTCTCTTCTTGGGCCAGATCCCAGAGCGTCAGCTGCTGTGGCTATGAATGGGTGCTGGCAGCAGAAGACGGCCCTCTCTGTCCTTCCTCTCAGCTCTGTGCCTCTTCTTGCACATGTACTCTTCAGGATTAATTTTTGAAACAATTCATCAAATTCTGAGAAAATCCTGATGCACTCTTGATTGATGTCGATTCCCTTTGTCCGTGCGTTTGGAGAAGGGACTGTTGGACCCTTGGGAAGAAGACCCCCGTCGCCCTCTAGTGACAGCTTCCAGTCCATCTCTTGGGAATGCCGCAGGCTCTGTGGCATTGGGGCTCCCGCAGCCGCTGTGAGCAGGGCGTTCTCCCGGTGGCTCTCTGCTGTTGCTTCCTGTGATACTCCTGGGTTGGCTGCCTTACCGGGTTCCACATTTGCTCTAATAGGTTTTCAGTTAATTCCTCTTTTACTGGGTTTTCCAGTAAGTGATTGTGCCAGCTTCACACAGAGCCCCATTTCTTCTTCCCACGACTCCTTTTATCTTCTTTCTCGCAGCAGTGCACAGATGAGGCCTCCATTGTGGTGGCACAGGCAGCCTCGAGTTCCCACTGGAACGGAATGCCTGGGGCCTTTGGCGGGAGAAGCTTGTCTTCGAGCACTTTGTTATACAGTCCTGGCTCCATGGCCACCAGGGACAGAGGTGGGGGAGTGAGAAGCAGGCACTCCCGGCTGTCAGAAGAGCCCCCCAGCTGCCCAAAGGCAGCACAGCCCGAGGTGAGGCAGACCCCGCCCCCACCCCAGCGCCTCTGCCAGGACCTCAGTGACGCTCCTTGGGCTCTGGGAGCCACTTGTCTTCGCCTGGCATTAGGGATGGGGGCTGTCCTGGTCTCGGAATCCTTAGGATTCCGTGCCACCACCTGGCTTGCCAGGGTGCCTGGCGTGCAGCTGGCTCTCAGTCCATGGCAGTTGGCGCTGTGCACAGCTGCCGGGCCACCCTCTGACAGGGTTGTCAGGGTCAGTGCATGTGACTATGTGTGCACCAAACAGCTGACGGGCTTCCTATGGCAGTGCCCGGGTGTGGACCACCTTACTCATTCTTGGCCTCTCCAGCTGGATTCCAAAAGTCAGTGTCCCAAGCCTGAGCTCCCTGATGGGCCTCAGCTGAGCCAGAGCGGGCATGCTGGGTGCCTGCCACAGCCCGGATCATCCTGTCTCATAGCCGTTGTTCATGACGGCTCAGCCACACTACACCTGCTCTATCATAAGTGCTCACGTGCAGGCCCACACCAGGTGCCTCAGGCTGGAGGTCCGGTTCCATTTCCTGTAAGGGAACAAGCATCGGTAGATCCACTTATGAGGAAACAGGCTTGCGGGAGTGAAGCAACTCTCAGGGGGCTTCCCAGCCAGTACTGAGGGACCAGGACTGAGCCCCACTCATGTCAGCTCATTCTTGCCATTCCCTGGGCCTGTGGGGTGTGTGCTGACAGCCCAGAGAGTCCCCAAGAGGAGCACGGGGTGCTCCATGCCAAGCCCCTGGGCTGCCCCGGCCTTGCCTAAGGGCATATGCTCTGTCCCATCAGCTCGGCCCTGGATCCAGGGGGTGTGTAAGTCTCACAGGCTGATCTCCACACCTTGTCCAGAGAGTGGTGTAAGGGCTGGGAAGATGGACACCTTCCTTAAGCCACCAAAGCACAGAATTCTTATGGAAAGTGGCAACTCTTTGGCACAGCCGTCACTTAGAAAATAAGATCGTGGATGTGACAGTGGGGGTCTCAGATTTGCTCCGAGGCCCCTTGGGTCACATAGGGAGGAGAACTCGAGAGAAGAGGAGATGCAGAATTTGAGGCAGGTCCAGGGTCCCTGTGTCTGGCTGTACCAGGGTTGTGTTCCACTTCCCCTGAACCATATTCAGGGGGACTGGATCCCTCAACCCTCCCCTACCCCCATGTGCCCAAAAGAGCTAGCCAGTGCAGGGCTTCCTGCTTGAGAAAGGTCTTAACCAGACCCCAGGGACACAGGGAGCAGCTGCTCTGCTGTGGTCCTCCTGCGATGGGCACCATTCCCAGAGACCCTGCAGCTCCAGCCCTCAGCCAGCAAAACAGCCAAGTGTTTTCAAGGTTTCTGGCTCTGTGGGGAATGAGGCAGGATGCCAGGAGGTCTGCGGGACACCTCACAGCCGTGTGCTCACTCCAGTGTCGAAGCAGCTCCCCGAGGGAGGAAGGGCAGCTTGTCCTTGTCACCCTCCCCAGGCCACATCTGGGGAGCAGGGGTGGGGCCAGGTCTCTGGACTCCTAGTGCACTTCCTTTCCCCGGTGACCCCTGAAGCAAGCAGAGGTCCCACCCCCTGAGCTTGTCCATGGGCCCTGCCAAGACTAGGCCTTGAGGCCAGGAGGAAGAACCAAAGCAGCTCAAAAGGCAGGCAGGGCAGGGGCAAGAGGAGGCAGCCATGCCTGGGGAGCCAGCCGTCTCTTGGGGTTTTGCCATTGAAGGGGGCTTTCAGTAAGGAAGGCACAAAACCAAGAAAATACAGCCCTGACCCTGGCCACGTGGTTCCCCTGCCTGCCTGCACCTCCCCATGGCCCAGCCAGCTTGTGACTAAGGAAAAACATGCAGCCACACTGATGCAATTAGGAAAATGTTATTTTTCCAATGCTGCCAGATCCTGGGGGTTGAACCTGTGACCTCAGAACAAGGAGCAGGGTTTGGGGCATGCACTGGCCGCCTGCGGCTTTGGCCTGGGGTGCCCACACCTCCTTGCCTGCTGCTCATCTGGGGGTTGGGGGGCACAGGAGAGGCACTTGGTGGGGGCTCAAGGAATGTGCCCACCCATCCCAACTTGAGAGAAAGGAGGGTTTTGTGGCACCGTGGACCTGGTGCTCAAGGTGAGTGGCCTCTGTGCAGGCCCTACAGGGAGCTGGATGTGGTCAGGACCTCCTGCCCCTGCCTCAAGTGGACAGTCCCCTCCATACCCCCTCTGCTCACCTTCTGGCCACACAGCCTGGGACAGGGGTGGGCCTGGAACAGGTAGGAAGCTCCCTGCCCCTCGGCTCCTGCTTCTCCTGGAGCAGCTAAAACTCACTTTGATGGGGACATGGGGACAGAAAGGTACAAGAGCCCTGGAAGACAACTGCCTGGGCCCCCAAGAACTGCAGACCACCAGGGGTCCTCCCACTCTACCCGGTATGCCCCCATGCCCCTACCCTGCCCTGCCAGCTCTCTGTGTCTCTTCAGTCCCTCACCTGGTGACAGTGGCAAGGCAGCTGAGGGCTCAGAGGGCCTGGCAGCCCCCGGGGTTCTGAGCTGAGCTGAGCTGCTCCGCCTGGGGAAGCTGCAAACAAGGGTGTCTTAGGCCTCCTGGTACCTCCACCCTGAGGGTCTGAGAGGGGGTCTCTGGGGCTGGGGCGGGTGTTCTGGACCCTGAAGGAAGGTTGAGCAGCGGGCCTCAGCAAAGACCCAGGGGGCGGGGAGGGAAGCTGGGGCGTTGAGAGGGCCGGCAGGGCCCTGGCGCGCGGGTCCAGGGCAGGGGGAGGGCCTTCATTGCGGCCCCAGGGGGTGGTGCGCGCCTGACCCTGAGCTGGCCCTGACAGCTCTCGTCCCCCTCACCTCCTGCCAGGCCCCGGGCTGCTTCGGAGGGAGCCCTGCACCCTGCCCCTGCGCCGCCCCCGCTCCAGCCCCCGCCGGGCGCAGCCAGTCCCGCGCGCCCCCGCCCGCCGGTGCCTCCAGGCCCGCCCCCGCCCGGCCGCCCGCCCGCCCGCCCGGTGGGTCGCGGTGGCCGCGGGCTGCGCTGCGAGGGCCGGGTGGGTCAGGGGGCTGCGCGTGTCCGCGGGGGCGCCCGGCGCGGGCTGAGGGGCGCTGGCGTGTCCCCGCAGGCAGCCCTGTGCCGGGAACAGCGCGCTCCTGGACACCGCCGGCCTCAAGATGAGCGACCTGGACTCGGAGGTGCTGCCCTTGCCGCCGCGCTACCGCTTCCGGGACCTGCTGCTGGGCGACCCGTCCTTCCAGAACGACGACAGGTAGGGCCTTGGGGCCGGGGTCGCGGTCCGGGGCCGCCGCGCGCCCGGAGCTGTCCGCGGTGCTGAAGGCCGGTCTCGCGCGCCCCGCACCGCGCGCCCCCGCCACCGCCGGCACCCTTCAACTTTTCCTGGCTTCTGGGGACGCAGAAGTTTCAGGTGGGGTGGGGGCGGGGGGCAGCATCTTCCCGGGAGGGGGCCTGGAGGAGGCGCGGGACGCTCGGAGCTGCGGAGTCTTCCAGAGCCCGACTGGGGCGCGGAGGGGGAAGGCGGCCCGGCCTTCCGGTGTCTGCTCCCAGCCCCCAGCACCCCAGTGTTGCTAGTTTTGGGGGCAAGCCAGGCCTGGAAGTGCCCGGTGGCAAAGCCCGCAGTCCGGCTGAGGGATGGCGTCCTCCAAGTTCAGGCAGCGATGCTTGATTAATTATTCAATGAGGGAGCGTGTCCTTCAGGCTCGTGGCCTTGTCACTTATTCAGCGTCACAGCGTCCCCGTTCCCTCCACATCTGCTGGGCTAAAAAGGCAAAATGAATTGTGTCTTTCAATAAAGGACCAACAAGAGGAGCCCATGGGAATAATTCATCCGCTGAGGGGCTGGCAGGAAGCTGGGAGAAATGTTGGTTTTCTCTCCTCCTTTTCCCCAAATAGCTGTCTTGGGTAAACACCCAGCAGTCGGCTCTGCCAGCCTCCGGGGAGGCGCTTTTATGCCTGCCAGCGAAGGCGAGTGCTCTGAGGACTCATGCGGGGCTGGAGTCTGCGGGGAACTTTGGGTCAGGAACTGCTCCCCTGTCCAGCCTATACAGCTAAGGCAGCGGGCTGGGGTTGTCACTGTCTGCAGGGCCCTGTCACCACCCAGCCCTGAGCTCAGCTGTGGGGGAATTCGCAGTTTCCCCCAGCATTGCAGTTACTCGGGTTAGCACACGAAGTACACGAGGTTGAAAACTGTCAGGAAACAAACTGAGCTTTCGGAGTGATTACTGCCAAGACCCCTGCTCAAAAAGAAATCATGCTTGAAACTAGGGTCAGTGCTAGGGACTGGGTCCACAGGACTGTGAAGGCTTGTAAAAAGAGGTCTTAAAGCCCTCTGCCTTCAGGGAATGGAATATTCTACTAGACTTCCCATAACATTTGGTCACGTGAACCAAGAGTCCAGAGAGGAGACTGAGCCCAAAGTCTTCGTCCTCTCACAATCAGGACATGCGTGTCCTGCAGAGAGGCCTTTTAAACTTGGAATTTTATCATGTTGAACTCAGTGCTGTAATAATAAATAAGCCCACCTAAGCTCAAGTGGCTGGGTGAAGAGTTTAGTTTACCTCCCTGTGTGGGCAGAGGGCAGGCAGCCAGGCTGGTTCTGTGCGGTGTGCAGCTAGGAGGCTCTCCTGCTCCCTGGGAGCCACAGAAAGCTTCCCTAGGCCAAACCTATGGACTCAACACCAGCACCAGCACCAGCACCTTGGGTGCCTGCTCCGCTGGGACTTGGTTAATTCTTGAAAACAGCAGCCCTGGGATATTGGGCAGGAAGTGATGTCCATCCCCCTAATGGTGCCTGGGGCTTCCAGATGACTTGATAATGCCTGTGGCTGTGGTTGATCTAATTGCAATGCTATATCCCTGAGTTTTCAGGAATGGACAGCAGAGGTTTTTGCTATTTGCCTAGAGAGAATCATCCCTGTCCCTGGGAGATGAGAGGCTGGCATGGGATTTCACAGTGAGTCCCAGGTCCTGGGTGTGGTTTTTTAAAATTGTGAGAAAATACATAAAACACAGAATTTACCATTAGTGACATTTAGTACACAACATTGTGCCACCCTTGCCGCTGAAATTCGAGAGCATTGTATACCCTAGAAGGGATCTCCTTACCCCCTGGGACTCGCTACCCACTACTCCCTTATCCCCCACCCCTGGCAGCCACCAATTTGCATGCACTGGCATTGGCATGCTGGGCCCAGTGGCCACATGGGTTGTGGGCCAATGGCATTAGGAGATGGACTGCCGGATGTGTGTGGCTGTGTGAGTGCTGCCAATGCGTGGCTGCGGTTCCTCTCCAGGAAAGGCCCACGGGGTACAGGGCATCTGTGCCCCCCACCAGGGCCCTGCTGTCTCTGGTTGCAAATGAAGCATATAGTGAGGTTCTGTTGGAGGGGGAGTGGCCAGGGGTGTAGAGTGTCAGGTCTGTGTGGCCACTGTACCTGTCCTGTGGCACTGTCCCTCAACATGGCCTCAGAGATGCTGTGCTGCCTGCCTTTCCTCATGGGTGAAGGACAGGGAGGGAGGGGGCGTGGCCTCTGTGGTGTGCTGTCTATAGGATGGGAGGGAGGGGGTGTGGCTTCTGTGGTGTCTATAGGATGGGAGGGGCGTGGCCTCTGTGATGTGTCTATAGGATGGGTGGGAGGGGCGTGGCCTCTATGGTGTTGCTGTCTATAGGATGGGAGGGAGGGGGCATGGCCTCTGGTGTGGTGTCTATAGGATAGGAGGGAGGGGCGTGGCCTCTGTGGTGTGGTGTCTATAGGATAGGAGGGAAGGGGGCTTGGCCTCTGTGGTGTGCTATCTATAGAATGGGAAGGAGGGGCGTGGCCTCTGTGATGTTGCGTCTATAGGATGGGTGGGAGGGGGCATGGCCTCTGTGGTGTTGCTGTCTATAGGATGGGAGGGGAGGGGGCGTGGCCTCTGGTGTGGTGTCTATAGGATGGGAGGGAGGGGGCATGGCCTCTGTGGTGTGGTGTCTATAGGATAGGAGGGAAGGGGGCTTGGCCTCTGTGGTGTGCTGTCTATAGGATGGGAGGGAGGGGGCGTGGCCTCTGTGGAGTCTATAGAATGGGAGGGAGGGGGCGTGGCCTCTGTGGTGTGCTGTCTATAGGATGGGAGGGAGGGGTCGTGGTCTCTGTGGAGTCTATAGGATGGGAGGGAGGGTTGTGGCTTCTGTGGTGTCTATAGGATGGGAGGGAAGGGGCATGGCCTCTGTGGTGTGCTCTCTATTGGATGGGAGGGAGGGGGCATGGCCTCTGTGGTATCTCTATAGGATGGGTGGGGGGGCGTGGCCTCAGTGGTGTTGGTGTCTATAGGATAGGACAAGGAGGGGCTCTGGCTTCCTGCCTTGTTGGTGTCTATAGGACAGGAGAGGGAGGGTACTTAGCTTCCCTCTGAAAGTCGTTCCGCTTCTCACCCCTGAGAGGAATCCTGGGCCTGGTGCAGATGATGGCCTTGGGTACCCTGAGATCTGGAAGGTGACGGTTACTGGTCAGCTGGTCTCCAGCACAGTTCCCAGCAGCTCTGCCTGGCTCTCTGAGGGGGAGGGGGCTAGTGAGGCTGGCTGGGCACGGTGCAGGAGTGGGCAGCCTTCTGGGGGCGTGGGGGCAAGTGAGTTGTGGGCTCCTGGCTGAGTTGCCTGCCAGCTCTCCAGCTGCCCCACTACATCTTTGGGCCCACTCCTCATGTGGACTCAAGCCTTCCTGAGAAATTGCCTAGACTGGATATAGAAGAGGGTGCCCTAGAGGTCTGGGAGCCCAGGAACACCCCCTTGGGGGTCCCCCCACCCAGAAGGGGCAGCTCCTTGGTCTCAGCAGCAGCCTGGGGGCCTCTCCTCTCAAAGGCAACTTAGGGAGCTCAGCCCAAAGGGTTTCTTTTCTCTCAAACCTTCTTTGCCCAAAGGGGCCTGCTTCAGCCTCCATGGCAGTGTTGGGTGAGTCTGGCCTGGCCTCTCCCATGACCCCCAACGCTGGAATGGGTGGGCAGCAATAAGGCAAATCAGGCTACTGCCCAGGGGTCCTGGGGTCACCCAAGCTCTCCCCTATCCATAAGGACACACACATAAGGACCCTGGCCCTAGCTCTGTGGAAACCCCAAGCTGACCTGGAGGAGGGGACTGGCCACTTGGAGGACCCTCCAGGGTGCTTGGGGTGGGCTCTGATGCCTCTGCCTGCCATGAGAGCCCACCTCATCTCTCTCTCCTCATCTTCTCCTCGTCTTCTTCCTCATCCCCAGTGCCTGTGCCTCCTCCCTCCTGGAATGGAGAATGGGGGGTCATCTGCCTGGCCTGGTGGGACCCCCTCCATGTGTACCGCAGTGACTCACAGAGTCTTCATGTGGTGGGAGGACATGCTTACCTGGATGCAGGAAGGAGGGCAGGTGGGGTCTGGTGGCCATGGGGGACCAGGTCTGAGAGGGCTGAGCCCAGCTAGACTGGCCTGCTGGCTCTGGGTGAAAGAGCCCTTAGGTGGAGGGGAGAAGACACTGGGATGGGGTCCTGGCCACAGCCAGAAGGGCTGGTGTGCCTGGACACAACAGCGCAGGCTCCACTCAGGCCCCTGAGGGACCAGCATGGTGGCCTTTGCCATGGGGGTGTCTCAGGCCCGGGTAAGATGGGAGTGCCACTTGGTCTCTCTCTGCACCAGGGGAAGAGGCTGGGGGTCAGGGAGACCCAGCCAGACCCAGCCACCAGCACAGGGCAGGTGCAATGTGGGGGCTCAGCACAGACCGGCCCCCTCATGCTGGTCACCCCTCACACTCTCCGTTTCCACCCAGGCAGGCTCTGTGAGGGGAGTGGGTGCCGCTGCCAACCCCTGGCAGCCTGCGAGCGAGCAGGTGGGCAGGCAGGCCTCGGCTTCCTGTTCCCTGGGGAGTAGAGCCTTTGGCAGTGAGTCACCACAGCCTCCATTAACCATGGCCTTGGGCAGGGAAGAGCTTGGCTGGTCACGTGGGCAGAGGAGGCTGTAGCGCTGGGCAGGCCGCTCCCTGGGAGGGATGAGCCAGCCCATTGGTCCTGTTCAGTGGGGGAAGCAGGCAGAGTTGGGAGCTCACCCGCCTCAGGGACCTGATGAGGTCCTGGGGGGCCTCTCACACCCCACTGCCTACCAGACAGTGTCTCGGGGGCTCCGGGGAGCAGCTCAACCACAGTCCACTTGATCCCGGGCTCTGGAGCCCCTTGAGCCACCTGAGAGTCTCACTGCCCCTCTGTCCAGGAGCCCAGGGCAGCTGATGGAGGCCCTGCTCTTCCCAGCCAGAGCCAGC